CCGGTTTCTTCGCAGGTTTTTATGGTCGCCCCCTAATATCAAGGTATAAAGTCTAGTATTGTCATTGCATTGTACATCTCACGCACGAACGCGTACTAGGGAGCGTCTTTTTCTTCTCTTATTAAAAAAAATAAATAAAAATAATAAAAAGGATCTCATGTGTGGAAAGGCAGACGCGAAATGCAATACTAAGATCAGCGCGTGCCCGACGATTTCCGTGCCACGATCGACCGATCGGAATCGTTGAAATCGTGCACACAAAAATAGACGAGCGTTGCGCGCCGATAACATGAATGTCCAAAAGGTATAGCAAATATATCTAAAACGTTTAGTTTTTTCTCAGTTATCAATTATCTGTGACGAGTCTTTTAAATCTCCTTTGGAATTTCATGTTGCTTAGAGCTTTCTTATCTCTGTTTCCCGAGATAAACAGAAATAGGCATTTATAATGATCTGCAAAATAAATGTAACAAAGATCGAATTGCATCTCGAGAAACATATATGTAAAATGCAGTTACCCGTAATATTATTTAATTATGATTGCTCGAAGAAGAAATAGGAAATTACAATAAATAGTGTTAAACGTACTTTTGAAATAAAAGATAATTTTGTGCCTAAATTTGGGAATATCTAATTTGAGCGTATTTTTTTAAGCCAAATGTTTGCCAAAGGGTAACTCCATTTCATGTACTTAAAATACAGTCATGCGGGACAATAACAACAAATACAGTGGTACAACAGATTTTATTTACAAGGCAAAAACATGAAAGAACAACACAAACAAGACGTATGCAATGGACGCAACAGAGGCAACAGAGCAAAATCAACAAACTTGTGCGGGGAAGGAAATGGAGATTTATGAGAAACGCTTTATTTACAGCTGAATCTATGTCCTGTGATCGCAGCACGATAACGAGGTAGGAATTGACTAGAGATTTTATGCTGAAGCAAGGATTGAAACCGGTTTAATTCTGAACGATCTTGATTAATTCAAGATTTCTGAACGCTCGCACTTTCCGCTATCGTTTCCTCTACGCAGTAACGAAAGTTGCGCGCGACAAAATTCTACCGGTTCCGATCCTGACGCTAAAGTGAGCGGCGAAACGAAAAGAAATGATGGCCAAAGGTACAGGGCAGTTTCGTACGACGTAAAGTCAGGTGTTCATCACAGGTGCTCAGCACATGTTCTACGGCATTCAGGCGACTTACCACGATCGGTTCAACGCCGGCGTCGCCCTTCGAAGCAAGTTTGACGATGAAAGAAACACGTGATTACTTGGTTACTCTTTTTCTTCGCACACGCGAGGCTCTACTCGTTACTTCCGGAGGATTTTCTCATAGTAATCCACAGTTAGAAAACTACGCAGATACGTGACTCGCCTGTCTACGCCGATACTGGGGAGACCGTTTTTCGCGTCTCATGCAAGGCGACGCGAATGTACAACCATGTGTGGGCGGAAAAAAAACGAATCTTTAACGCTCTGGCAAAAAAAAGTAATCTACCTTTGACTGCTCCCCCTCTTTCCCTACGGCTTCGTCAAAAAACGTAAACGCGTACACTCGAACGCTACTACTCAATTGACAATTAAGCCTTCTCTCCCTCTTACGCTTATGCTCACACTCTTTGGGTTAATCGAGTGAAAGACGTTCAGAAAGACACCGTTATTGCAAATGACCGACTCAACGGTCGATCTGACGTACCAGGGGCTCGTTCGACTTGACCAGCTGAACGATCTTCACCGTTTCCTCGTCCTCGTCCACCTCCAACGGGATGTCCGGCAGCCTTGGATAGTAGTCCTTTTGCGCCACCGCATCGTGAGCGCAGAGGAGACCCTTCAATGAAGGAAGTTGTTAAAGTACACATTCTCAAAAAATATTAATTTCTTCAGAGGCGATTATTAAATTACAAACATGAAGAAAAATTGACATTTGAAAAGAATATTTGCCAGGAATCATGTTTCATTTTGTTGTGACAAGAGAGAGACAACAAGATTTTTTAAAATAATATCATTGCCTTCGAAGAAATCAGCTTATCGTGCAAAGTATATGCTTATACAAAGTTGTTTACTTATTACTATCGTTACCTGGATGTGTGGCTTTTGCAACAAGTGGAATAGCTCCTTGTAGTCGGCCGAGGCGTGCGTTTTGGTCGACAGCAGATCGAGCACCTCGACGTCGATGTCCATCGCGTTCGACAGCACGGGGAAGAACTTGTCGTCCTTAAAATTGTTGAGGATCTTGTTATGAACGTTCACCAGGGCGTTCAGCTCCTTGGACTGCAGCAGCTCGCTGAGAAATCCGAATTCCTCCTCGGTGCAGCTGGGAATTTCCGACTTGTTCTCCTGCAGCGAGTTCAGCAACTTGGACAACGCTGGAATAAGGGGGAGCGAGTGAAACTAACAAACGCAACGAGAAAATAAGGCACAATCTCCGAGTAAGATTATAAAGTAAATTAAAAATGGAGCAACTTTGAAAAACTCTCGTCTTTATTTCTCCGTTTAAATCTTTCATTATTTTTTTTTAAATTATGTTTCGCTACATACGCTTCAGCGTAAAATGTATAAAACGTTCATTATTCGAGTCGAATGGTGCTAGTTACGTTCTCCACGTTTAAACGCGGAAATGCTAAAATTGGAAACGGTGTAACGAACTCGATTCCTCTGCCACATGTCTCTATAATTATTTTAATTCAAAGACAAGGATTTCTCGTGACATTTACCGCGCCGATCGATACCGGATCGCTATCGGATTCATTTTTAAACGGAGGATCACTCGTCAGAGACCTCCGTTCCATTCAACAAATTGGAGCACGCGGAAATGTGCGGTCGCGATTGAAATACCTCGTTATTACTCGCGGTCGCGTTTATTTACTCTCTCTCTCTCTCTCTCTCGGGTTTACCCTCGCTCTATATTTATAACGTACAACGCTCGCGGCCGACACACGTTTTATTAATATGTCTTTGAAGAGTTATTCAGTCACGTATCGGATTATGCTCCGCACAACTCGCTCCAATAACTCTCGTCTCTTGCGCGGAAACAAACGGGAGAGGACCTTATCGACACGTCGCCGCCGCACAATAGTCAACTTCGTCGAAATCACCTGTGCGCCGCTCTCCAGCACCACCATCCCTTATAACTCTTTTATCTCTCGACGCGCTGCACGTGAAAACACCCTCGACGATCTCGGATCGCCCTCAATTGTTCGGAAGGTTCGGTTTTCAGCAGCTTTCTCCTCCCTGTCTCGTTAACGTCGACTTACCGGGGTCCCAGTTAACGTTTTCCATGACGACCGCCGCTGTCATAATTCGCGCACGGCACCCCGGTCAGGCGTGTCCCCGCGCACCCGAGGCGAGGACGACGCGGGCGTCGCGATGCTCGGCGTCCGTTTGAGCGACGGGTATCAGAGACGGCGACAGCGGGATCGGGATCCGGGTCGGCGTATTTCTGTCGGGGTCGCGCGCTGCGCCGTCGCCGCCGCGTCGGCGGCCCTTCTTCCGTCGACGATGCTGTCCCGCCGCTGCTGCTGCTGTCGCTGCCGCTTCCTCGCGTCGACGTGTCGCGTTCGCGCCGTCTGGAGTATCGTTATCATAGCGAGAATAATCCGTTACGTAAGCAGCCTGTCACTCGACACGGGGTAGGATGACCGCCACCGGATTGGCCTGCCGTCCCTGCCCCGTGCGATTCCTCGACATGGCACGATCTCCTCTGTCCTCACTCTTCTCCACTCTTTCTCCCCTCTTCCTCCTCCCTCTCGCTCTTTCTCCCTTTTTTCGCGTACTCCGATCCGAAATCCGACGCGCTCGCCGAAGACGCGCTCTCACGCGCTTGACGGAGGAGCTCTTCCCCCCTCGCGTGGATGATCTACTCGGCACTAATGCACCCCCGATGAAGCTCGCACGTCCCTCGTGTTTTCCCGACGTCCCGGCATCGGTGCCATGTTGAAAGGCGCCGCCGAACAATGCGCTCCGCGCACCCTTCGCCGGCCTCTGTTCCGTTTCTGACTCGACTCGGCCCGACGCCCGACCGAGAGCGGACAGCCTCGTCGGCCTCGTCGCTTCTGTCTCGCTCTTTCTGCGTCTTGTGCGAGCTTGCGGAAAGAGACGGACGATTCTCGTCGAAACTCGACCCCATCTTCGCGTTCACGCAGGGACGGCGAATTACACGATCGAGAGCCACATGGTCATTCTCCGGACTTTGGATGCCGAATTGATTTTCGAATGCTCCTGTTTCGAATACAATTTGTAATGATAAACGAATTATACACGTTAGCACTGGCTAAGTTCTATCGATGATAGCAGCTGGGATAATTTTTGCAATACGTGCGATTTATAAGAAGTAAATCCCAAAAATGTTCATTGAACGAATAATTCACTCAAAACCACGTAATTGATTGATATGATAATTAGAACAGAACATGACCATGTACACAAAAAATACCAGCAAATTTAAAAAAATACGGATGTATAATAAATAAGATAGAATAATTTAAGCTG